AGGTTCTGAATGAATTCTGCTTCATATGAGTACAAAAAAAAGTCGGCCAGAAGGGATGCACAATTAGTACCCATTAGAATACCGACTGTCTTTTGAAATTTCAATCCTCCAAACTCAACAAATATATTGTCGATTAAAAAGTCCAGCATTTTGATAATATCATCTTCACTGTATTTTCTGATAGAATCAGTGTGGTTCTTCACAAAATAAGAATTATTACAACCCAAAACAAGAAACTTATATCTACGATTCCCATTTTTATAGAAAAATCTCTGTTAAATGAGATGGTGAAGTCGATCTTTCAATTTAACATGGGGAATAGTAGTGTAAAGCGTAGAAAAATCAAAGGTCTGAATGTTGCTGCAAAATTGAAGAGATTGTGATCTAAGATTCAGCAGTAGATCTTTAGAATTTTTGAGAATCCACGTCTGATTGACACCACTGGTTGAATATATCTCATCACAATATTTTTGAAGGCCATCTTTTACTGTAGAAAGAATAGTAGTCAACAATTTAGAAAGATGTTTAGTCGAACATCTTGATGATCCAGCTATGTATCGTTCTTTATACGGAGTTTTGTGAAGTTTTGGTATCCAGTATAATGACGGTAGATTTTCTTTGATGTTAATACCAAATGAAAGAAGGACAGATTTGTGATTTGGTAACATTTCATCCTTTGTAAATGATGTGAAAGAATATGTAGGATTACCAGTTGTGCTGTTTATTCCAAGCTCTTTTGTGAGACATTGCAAATAATGGTTTTTACATACGAAGACAACATTATTGGAGGCTTTATCTGCTGGAACAACGACATATTTGTCATGCAAAGAGGATAAAGCATCCACAACCTCCGGGTTCTTGAATAGGTTAGAAACCCTTGTGATCATAGTACATCGTAGTTTATGAATGCGCTTCTGAATGCATGATGGAATAGCTTTGATCCATTCAGACAAAGTGTCCAGTTCTGGTTCGTCTGGTTCGCGCTTTACCCATTTTCTAGCATAATCCTCAACTGCATCCATTAGTAACCTGAGATCTTTTTCCAGTTGATGGGCTGGGGAATTCTATATTTTGGTCCCTTGGCTAACAACTCTCTTAGTTGTTCATTGGTAACGATATTACACATCACGTAAAACCACGTAAAATATGTACTTCCATGTTCACTCGGTTGTACACAAAAAAAACATGTTCCATAATTTAGCTTCAATTAAGAATCATCAAGCTTATTAACGCCTGTTGCATTAAATTTTAGCATAACATGAATGTGAAAAATAATTAAATTCTATAAACTACAAGTACTTATCAAATCTGATTTTAGATATGATTCCTAATATTTTAATTACTTAAGCTAATTAAAATACGAGCAATTAACTTTGAGAAAGTTTGTATCGAAATCATATAACCATAAGTATGTATCAATTTACATTAGTTAACAAAAAGATCAGTTTAAACAGTTTGCATGACAATATGTTGTAATAATAATTTAACCACTTCTATTTATAAAATGCTTAAAAATACATGTGCATTTAATAATTGCAGCAACGTCAACACATAAGGTTCCCTTAAGACATATCAACGGATCAATAGAGTTTGTTTTAGAGACAAGTGGAAGCATCTAGCCTACTAGAGTCATTTTTTTTTTCTTCTCTAAAATAATGTCCATAAAAAAACCCAGATGATTGTGACCTGAAATAAAAACATCCTATATCTAGGATTTTTGCTATTCAGTCACTATGAAGTGTTATAATTCATATTTAGACGCAACACATAAATAAAAAAAAATGGAAAGGTACCGCCATTGCAAAAACATGATATAAGCGATAGTAAATATACCAAAGTCGAGTTACATCCGTTAAAATATATGAAATAGTGACATGATACCCGATAAACTACACACTCGTTGCCCAAATTTGGAATACTTATGGGTTTTCCTAAAATGAACGTGTTCGTCTTCAGCATGATCACTGAACTTAACAAGATATTTGTGATTTGGAAACAAATTATCCATCCTATTACCTTTTCTGATTACAGGCAATTTAGCAAGTAAGTAAAATACTCTACAACTACGACAATACTTCTAAAAACAACGACAAATATTGCAAAGTGGTATTAACAAAATACCAATCTCCAATGTAAATTCAAAAAGGGGATGTCCATAAAAACTGACGATATCTACCAACAGAACGAATGGAAAACAACTGTCATATTACACACCCTGCATGCTGCTTTAGATCTTATCATACTATGCTATGAATAAAAAGGCAACGAAAATTGACTAAGGGGACGACGGTTTTAATTTTTGGATTGATGGTGAGGCAGTAGAATTTTGAAAATAAATAAGAACTTAATATAAATCACTTTGCACAAGACAGGATGAACTTGTCACACAAAATGCAAAAACAAATGTATGGAAAAGTGAAAATACATTTAGCGCGGAAAAAAAGTAAACACGAGTAGCAACGTTTACAGGCGGAAATAACAGATGATTTCGGAAAATCTTCTCCACCCCCTAAATATAAAATGGTCGTCCTTTACCCTTAGCCTTATCATCTATTTTTTTAAAAAAAAATTTATTTAATTAAATTTATTGGCTGAACAATTTCGTAATTCCATAATTGAGTAGAATTTACTCGATTTTGGAGTATGTTTTGCTTTCTCATGAAAATATATCGTATTAGGACCACCACACAAACTGTTAATGGGAGACTATTGAAATGTACTCCCAATTATTTTTTAATCCTTGAATAGTCAAATCCAATTGGTGTACGGAAGGCAACTTTTATATTCATTTCATTATATATATATAGTAAAAACATTGGTTTTTACGAATAACGCTGTCGAACGGGAACGCACAAAAAGAAAAATTTAAGAAAATCACAACTGTACGTCCTACACAAAGAAATAAAAAAAAAAAACTTGTGCTGAGAAAGCATGACAATCCTGAAATTGTCCGTCCATGGTAAAAAAAAATCTAAAATATAATTATATACTTTTATCGTCACACAATAAATGTAAAGGTTAAATTGTCCGTATAAAAATAAAACAAGGATTGCCAAAACAACTGAACAGTACAACAGATCACATCATACACCTGAACAAAGGACGTAGCAATAAAGACAAACACAAACAACAACAAACAAGATATGGTAACAAAATTGGTGAATTTCAAAATATATAATTATGGAGATGTTTTATGATCTATTCACCGAAGATCAAAGGACAAGGATCGGAAAAACAATAGGTCACTACGCCCTTCAACAATGAACAACATTCAAACCATACAGTAGCATATTAAAGACACAGGGATAACAAAATGTGAGAAAAGAAAAGGAATAAGTTATGCTTAAACGAAAATTAAAATAGAAGAATGCAACCAAGTTTAGCATGTTTGAGTGAGCTCACACCCCGATTCCTTAAACTGGAACATTGGTGTTACAATCCACCACTGAATAGACAAAATGTGTTAATATCACTATAAAAGGCGCCAAAAACATTTTGAGCACAAAAAAGGCAACAAGAAAAAATACAAAAAGCCCAGTTTCTACTTATAAATAAACCATGTTTTTAACCTGAATATAATATTATCAAATACACGTCAACATATATAGTTAAGACAAGTAGCACGACTTCTGTGTAGTACCAGAATAAAATATCATTGGGGATGGGATATAGGATGATCAGTGTAAATAACTTGAAAACAGTACCTCAGTACTTTGTTATACATTAAACATTAAACATTAAAAACAAATTCAATGTCGTCATCGATAAATACAATATGCAAAGATCTTACCACATTGTTCAATTAATAACCTCCGCGAGTAAAGTTATTTAAAGGGCCAATAAGTTTTCACTGCGGAGCATCTATACATATAGGAGCACAATAAACGACATCACCGTGAATATTAGGATGAAATATCCGGTTTGAAATAAAATTTTACAAGTACAGTGTAACTTCCAAACCCAATCTGTCTATCAATGAAATTCCTGAATTAAAATTAAAATAGAGGATTTATTGAGAGGATTCAAAAGACGGAAGATGTTGATAACAAACGTGTGATTCATTTCGTTCCCCACCATCCTGTGAATAAAGATTCTGAGATTACCCTCATTCTTCTTATTTTATCGTGTACGATTGCAGTTGTAAACCACAGCAAGATTTATCCAGCTTGAATGATTGCTTAATGTCAAGGCAACGTACCACATCTGAAAGACTTCCTTTTCACTTTCATACTCTTAACCATGTTTCCTTTTCGCATCTTCAAAAACCTTTTGAACAATATCTTGGCGTTGACGCACTAATAACAGAATGAGCAAATTAAAGGTTGATAAAACACATTAGATATTCAACATGTATAGTGCTTCCTTTTGTGTTATGTAGCTGACGTATTGCATGTGTATTATGTATTGTATTGTTATGTCCTGTACATGTATGTCGGTTAAAAGCTCATTAGAGCTTATGTTATGTCCTTATTTGTATACTATGCCGACTCTAGATAAAGCTTATTTATTATTATTATTATGATAGGAGTTATTTGTCTGTAGAATATCATGATAGATTGTGAAAGGCTGGTCAATTGGATTAATTATTAAATATTTAATTTCGTTTATATGGTGATGGATTAGTCCGCATGCTGTAAATAAGTGGATTTATTACTTTAAGTCTATGTACATAAACTGTAAGCCAATTTGTAATAGAGTGCTCCGTGTTTAAGGTTTAAGGGTGCAAATAAGTACGCTTTAGAAGCGAAGCTCCTGCTAGAGGAGGAAGATAAAGACTAGGTAACAGGTAAGAGGTAAGTAAAAAAAAATAATGGAAAATTATGTCAATAATAAAGAATAAATTTTGCAAAATTATTTTCCTTTTATTTTCATAATTTTGATTCTTAAAAAAGAGAAATAGATGATTTTCGACATAAAGATCTCTTTAATAAACAATAATAGTTCCGTGCTCGTGAAACCTGCCATTCCCGTGCTTGGTTTAAATTTACACACGTGAAGTTTGGTCCAAACAAGAACCGAAAATGATCGATACACATTTTCACACATTTCAAAGAGATTGTTAAAGATGATCCCATATTCCTGGTCTCTGTAATCTTTATAAAACTAAGAGTTATATTGACATTTCAAAATTATGTCGCTTGAGGATCCATTTTTTGTGGTCAGAGAGTAAGTAATCTTAGCAAATAAAAACGACTGAAAACGAAAGAGAAACTCTTAAGCTGTAGGCTTAGAATGTTTTAGCCCTAAAGCAGTAAAGGTGTTATTAAACTGAAAGAAAACTTGCGAGTTTTTCTAGTGAAAAAAACTTCATTACACATGTTTTGATCATTTTTACCACAACATAAAGGTATATTACTATTTATTCTAGATTGTTCCTAATAGACCTTAGATTGCTATTCAGGAATATGCGACACTTGCGCTATTAACGCCATACAACAATCACTTTCTGTTTGTGGTGTCAGACATTTTCTATTGTGACGTCAAAATTTCATGGGAACTTTTATGATGTCCAGTAATGGCGGAGAAATAGCGATAAGGTGTATCTTATTTCCTTCTTCTTCTTTGGTATAGACGTTATTGCTATTTTGGAATCTGTAACACTTGAACCTAGAATTTGCGACAATTCAACTTTTGATGCATACAACAATCCCTTTTCCTTTGTGGCATCAGACATTTTCTCTTGTGATGTCAAAATTTTAGGGAACCTCTGTGATGTCATGTAATGGCAGACAAATGGCCATAAGGTTTATTTGGTCTGTTCGCTCCCTTAACACTTTTGCACCCTACACGTTTGCACCCTATTTTTATTCAAATACATGTGCAGGTTGAATCATAAGATTTTTTTAGATGTATATATACTTGATATATATATAAAAAAATATTAATATTTTCATGAATAAAGAATCATAGATTTTTTCAAGGATTTAGCTACAAGATGCAACAAGAAGAAAAAATTAGCAACAAGAAGACTAAATAAGCGACAAGAAAGCAAATTGTAGGCAAATTTTTGTTCTTCTCTCAACAAATTATATATATATATATACATGTACATTGTATACCTTAGATATATATAATTTGTCTCAAATTTATCCAAACAATGTTTATAGATCTGTTAATGTGCATTTGCAAATTTTTGTTCTTCCCTCGATTCTAACCTTTGCTTCTGTGACATTGTGGCAACTCCGCCTGCACTGTTCCCAAGACCACTTGACCTTTGTTAGTCAGGTAATGCCTTTCCTCGTCAGCTTTATCTAGGGTTGTAACACAACTATGATGTATAATGACAAGAAGTATGGCATATGCTTTCTGTAACTGCGAGTACTCTTATATTGGTACTTTGTGTCTATTGTTTTTATGTTAGTTGGTTTATTCTTGCTTTGTACCAATCTATTAAGTTAAGCATGTTTAACCCCGCCACATTCTCTATGTGCCTGTCCCAAGTTAGGAATCTGTAAATCGATGGTTGTCATTCAGGTTCATGTCTGTCATTTGTTTTTCGTAAATTGTATTGTATAAATTAGAGTGTTAGTTTTCTTGTTTGAACTTAGAATTGATTACCATTTTTAATTTTGGGGCCTTTACTAGCTGACTATATGGTATGAGTTTGTCTCATTGTTGAAGGCTGTACAGTGACCTATAATTGCTTTTATCTACATCATTTGGTCTCTGATGAATAGTTATCTCATTGGCAATCATACCACATCTCCTTATTTTTATATTGTATTTCACTTACTTACAGGAAGAAATTCAAATTGTAAATTTATGTGAACACTCAAAACATGCACAAATAAAACTGTGAAAGTGAAGTTAGTACCAATGGCAATGATGTTTTTCCAACTATGTTAACAGTTTTCATATCATGTATATCTTTACATTTTTTCTCTTGAATTTTCAGTGAAGTACAGAAGGCCTTGCAATCTGCCACAAGTCTATATGAGAGGTGGAGTGAGTTAATTAATAACCCAAAGAGTGTATCTAAGGAAGAATATGATTGGACAACTAATGAATTGAGGAACAGTTTGAGGAGTATAGATTGGGACCTGGAAGACTTAGAAGAAACCATTGGTATCCTTACACATTGAATGATTCTCAGACACGAAGCTGAAGCATCGTAACAACCATTCAATCCATTATAATAATGTAGAAATAATTAGGCTGAATTGAGGAGATGTTGCACTCAGCACTTCACACATTTCAGAATTTGGTTAAGAAGTGACCTTTTTTCAGGTTAAAACAACACATGGATTCTTGGAAGTCATCTTTTCGAAAGTTAGATGTGTCCTTAACTAATCATTTGCAATAAGTTCTTATTTCTAAGGAATGGTAACTACAATGGGAACACACTGAAAACTAGTTTGGTTGAAGGTTACTTGATTTGATCTAGAGAACAACCTGTATCATCACTACTGAAGAGTACAGAATGGTACTCACTACTCAGTGTATTCTAGATATATTTACTGTAGATTCAGAAATTATTGCAAGGTTTTTATTAATGCGAATAATGCGACTGGGTGAAAATTGCAAAAATAAGAACTCACATTCTGATATCTTATCCATATATCTTTATGCAAATTTTCCAGAAATCGCAATAATTAATCTCGTATTTGTGTCCAATCTTCAAATAGCGCCAAAATAAATGGACGCAATAATTTCTGAATTTACAGTAATCTAAACTGTGATTGAGTGAACTTGAACTATTCTCGAGTATGTCTGAACCATGGATAGCAGAGTTCAAACTGCACTGTTTAGATCTGATACTTTCCCTTGTTATAAATGCACTTGTTATCATGGTTATTGGCTTTGATTAGACTTGGTCTAGAATTATTTGAAAAAAATGAACGGTAGTCTAAACTAGTAAGCAAAGTTTATATTTAGTATAAATCCTGTAAGTTAAATTGTATTACTGTCCAGTACAGAAAATATACAATCCAAAGCAAATCAATTTTAACTTCTCACTAGACTCTGAATACAGAGTCTTGAAAGATATTCATTATTAGATAAACCTTTAAAAATATGCCTGAAAGTGGAGACATGCATGTGATTGTGTAAAGACTTAAGGAGAAAAGTAGACTATTGGTATAATTTAACATTGAAGTTTGGCATTTTTACTTTTGTGCTCCTTAACTATCGCAGATATTGTTGAGAAAAATTTGAAAAAGTTTAAAATAGATGAATCTGAACTTGAAGACAGAAGATCTTTTATCAGAAGGACTAGAGTCTCTGTTAAGGTAGGTATAGAAAATGTGAAATATATACATCATTAACACAGAAACTCAACAACACAAAAAAAGTAAAAGATATTTAAAGGTCAACATACTGTCTTCAACAATCAACAGGTGTCTTTACAATATATCAAGTCCAAAAATGTTTCAGGTATTCAAGATTCAAGAAGAATAAATTGAACAGGTTCATAATAAAAAAGATGTCTAGAACTCATACACAGTCTTTAACAACAGGCAAGTGGCCACATTATGGCAATCTCTGTATAATTAGAATAGAGAATGGAATTATTGCATGTATAAATGATTTTTGATTGATTCAAAAGAGACAACCTGAGATCTGACATCAACATTTACATTCTAATATGACAGTAAACAATAAAAGGACAGTAGGAGATGACTGACTTTGGACAGACATATTCAAATGTGGTATGGTTATATATTTTAATTGAATGACCCAGACTAATGAAATTCTTGCAAAGTGATATTAGATCTAATCTTTACAAAGTTGTACATATTAGGATTTTTGTTATTACATCGTATTTGTATAACAAATTAATATAGATATATTTATTTAAAATTGTGTGTCCATTGCAGTCAATGAAGGATAATTTATCAAGTAAACAGACAAAGGGGAAAGATGAAACAAATGTGAGACAGGTAAATTATTTATTTCTGCTTGAAATATTCCATGTATAACAGTGACTCAAAATATCAAATTCATGAATTACAGATTTGTATTATGGAAACTTTATGATTTCAATTGAAGTAAGCTTTATTTCTATCTTTATTTTTAAAGAATTGAATGCTTCGTTACAAGTTTTTTGGGGACATGAAAGTGTTTTTTTTACTAAAAAGTGTCTATGAACAATGCTTTTACAGCTCTATATATAAAACAGTTTAAATACAATAAAAAGCACTCAATTCTTATATGGTAATTACATTAAAACAATTTAAAACAAACCTCATTTGTTTTGTTTTAAACTTGTTTTTCTAGACATTATTGTAACATTCTCATGGAGAGCATGTTCATTGTGAGTTTTATTGGGAATAATAAAATGAAACTTGTTAGAATAGGTGTGCATGTAAAATGTGAAAAATGTTTCAAAATTATTTTAAAATCCTCATTTCTACAAAACCAATCCATAGTGATGTGTTGTTTTTTTTATTAAAATAAGTGTGGTTGTCTGATAAATGTAAGAAAGAGAATAAGAACTGAATTCACTTTTGATGTACAAAATATTATACAAACTATATTATGAGCAATTTAAAACAAAAAGGATTGAAAATTGTGTTTCTGGGCTTAATGTTTGATATATCTAGTGTATTTTTTCATCCAGATTTCAACCTTAAATTTTATGATTTTTTTTTTGTCTTCTTATATTATTTAATAAAAAAGAAATAACATAGCTTAATTATGGAAATTTTCTTAAATCAATACTTTGTATATTGATTCCTGTAGGCATTGCTTAGTAATGGACCAAATAGACCTCACGACAAATACACACGGTTAGACCAAGAAATGGAGAGGTCCAATCAGAGATATATAGAGGACACATCTCAACAACAACAGGTTAGACATATAAATGTGTCAGTAACAACTATAAAGAAATCTTTACGTTTTTTTTTATGATCACAATTTTTTTTTGCAACAGCAACATTTATAAAATATTGGGTCAATTTGGTGATTATAATTCATGACTGGTCCCCTTCAGAAATGTTGTAAAGAACAATTAAATTTTGGTGCTACATTTTTTTGTACTTGAACTGAATCTTTTAAAAATATTAACACAATGTTAGGATCTATTTGATAAGGTAAAAAAATATATATTTAAATTTGTGTTTCATCTATATCCACAAAATCCATGATGACATTCATATGCATGATTTAGTTGATGAAAATAATGACCTATACTTTTTAGGGTAATGTTTTTTTATTTTTCTAATATTATTTTTGTAATGAAATAAAATTAAAGAAAATTTGAAAAATGTATTATGGAATATCATAAAACATACAAACATTCAAAGGGTCAGTAGAATTGCAATTGCCATAAATATTGATTAAAAATGTCACAAGTTAAAGAACAGTCTAGCCATGTGTGAGCTAGCATAACATTTTTGGTCAATTTTCCTGGGGGAATTACTAGGTATAGTAAACTAGAACATCACCAAGAAAATCTATGGGACCCTTAATTTTGAAGCAGTTTTTATGCCCACGCTGTAGCAGAGGGGGCACTAAGTTTTACCCTTGTCCATCTGTACGTACATGGCCTCAACCAAATGTTATGAAACTTATACACAATGCTTATTACCACATAATACAGATCAAGTTTGAAATTGGGTGGCATCACGTTTACTGTTCTTGAGTTATGCCACTTTCTAAACAAAAAAATTGTTGAATTTTTCATTTCTTTTCTCTTTCTTTAGTTTGCCTTTACCAAATGGTATGAAACTTATACACAATGCTTATTACCACATAATACAGATCAAGGTCGAAATTGGGTAGTGTCATATTTACCGTTCTTGAGTTATGCCCTTTCTAAACATAAAAATTGCTGAATTTTTCGTTTCCGTTCTCTTACTAAAGTTAGCCGCAACCAAATGTTATGAGACTTATACACAATACATATAACCTCAAAACTCAGATCTAGTACAAATTTTGGTAGCGTCACTTTTACTGTTCTTCAGTTATGTCCCTTTATAATTTTATATGCTATGCAAGCGGGGGCGTCATCTGTGTCCCGTGGACACATTCTCCATTTATTTTGTAATTTATAAATTCAAAGCACCATCCAAGAAATTTTTCTAAAGATAGCATTATTGTCAATGGGGCAAAAATTTGAAACTTTACATTAAATGATATAGCCAAAAGGAAAATAATTCTGACTCATCCTTTTATAACAGGTACAGAGAATATGATCAGAATTATGCTTGTATAAAAACTGGTTTATACAATACAAGACTGTAAGGACAATACATATGTGTATTTTATCTTTCTTTAATTGATTTGTTGCAGTTGATCATGAGAACACAAGATGACAACATGGATCTTATCAGCAAAAGTGTTGGATCTTTGAAGAACATGAGTCAACAAATTGGCAGCGAATTAGAGGAGCAAAATGTGTAAGAAATAACATACATTAAGTTTATGAACATTTCCTTTGTCATCAATGACAAAGATATTTTGCAATGGACAACCCAATCATGATGGTGTCCTTAACCTTTTAAGGAGATGAGTTATAAGTGAATAAAAATTACCGTTAGATTGTATTAGAAAAAAAGATGTGGTATTATTGACCTTGAGACAACTATCAAGCAATGTCCAAAAAGGAACAATATAACAGTATACCCACATCTTCTTTTATTCATTAGACAAATATTGGCCTTTAACCATGGAGGAAGTACCATATTGTTAGGTAATGTATAAAAGGGCCCTAGTAAACAAGTTGTTTGATAATGTAAATTATTAATACAACATGAAGACTATGACCACTGAATTATAGATTCCAAGATTAAAAAACTCCTTAAGCAGGTGGCAGGGTTTAACATGTTTGTAAGTGCAAAATTTACTCCCTTATATATATATCAGCAAAACAAATCAACAAACTTTAAAAATCAATTGAAATGGACTTAAAGTAGTCGGGTCAAAACTTAGGGAAAAACCACCACAATAAATAACATAACATAAGTTTTAACCTAAAAGTAATCACATTTAATTTATTGATTGTTGGTATTTAACACCACTTACAGCACTTCTTATTGCCGCCATTTATTATTGGTTGAGGAAGCCAGAGTAAGGGGAGAGAACCACCAACCCTTGGCAGGAAAACTGGTAATCCTGGTCAATTAAGATCAGAAACAAACACCTTGCTACAAGCAGGATTTTGACTCAGGACCTCAGTGTTCACAGACTACTGTTTATGTTATGATAAATGTTACTGTATGTTTATTTTAACTTTAATGACAATTGATTTCTTTATGTTACAGTATGTTAGATGAGTTTCATACAGAAATGGATCACACAGAAAGCAGAATGGACGTCACAATGAAGAAATTGGCTAAAGTTATGCATATGTCAAATGGTAGGTCTTCTTTAAATATCATTGATTTATGAAAATTTGTTTGAAGATTGAATTGAAAACACAAGACTTAATTCTTCTTTTGCTCTACTTAAGCTAGGTCCCCAAAGAATCCCCTGCTGTGTCAAACATTTAAAACTAAGATAGTTAGCGATTTCAAAATGAAATTTCATGATATATCCATCTCAATGGTCACAAGTTGTATGTGCTATCAACTTTAACACATTAATTTTTTTTGCTCTTTCTGGAGGGTGTTGATCAAATCCTACACTTTTAAATTTGAAATGACAGAAAAATATAATTTTTAAGAGTCCTCTTTTTTAATAACATAAGGCAAAAGCCTAGCAAGTTTGTGAACATTTTAAACTTGCAGAAATATAACTGTTGGTGTGACCGTGTGTCAATTATGAGTTTACCGCAACAGAGTTTCATATTTCAAACAACAGCATATCACAAAACTTGAAACAAAAGTTAAAACTTGTGATATTTTTAAAAAATTTGGCTTCATAGCTATTATAATCAGAACTGTTTTAATTTAAGAATACTGCTTTGTTGTGTCATATAATAAATAAACGAGTGTCACATTTTATGCAAGTTTTACCAAAATGTGTCTTGGTGCAGATGGACTAGAAATGAAGTGAAAAAATGTCAATAATTTTCAAATACATGCAGGGCTTCCAAAATTATTTTTAGCCAGCCGGACATTTTATATATTATCCCGATTTTAATCCTTTAAGACTAAATAAACAAAAGGCAATAATGGTAATCAGTTGCCGAGTTGGACATCCCAATGATTGACAATAAAAAAAAACGATATTAAACTTTCTTTGATTCAAATTCGAAGTTCTGACGTAAACTGTTTAAATTGGCAGTGCATCATTCGAATTGTGCAACATCAGCGTACTTATATCTGCCTTAGACTCTTTATTTGGGCAAAATAACGTTGTCAAAAACTTTACTTTCGTTTTTAAACCGGATGTTATCTTGACAATGGTAAAACATGGACCAGAGACGGATACGTAAATTCAGTGTACGTTTGCAAAGCATGAATGAGTGTACGTAGCTCTTTCTACGTTATTTCTTCAAGAAAATATTCGAAATAAACGTGAGATAAAGGTATCAATGACAATTTAAGCATTTTTTTAAGAAATTAATATGCATAATTAAATTTCACACCTGCGGACATGCGCACACGTGTACTAGTTCAAACATGTCTCTGGTTCAAACAACGTGGTTATGACGATTTTTCATTTTCACCTTTTTAATTTTTTCATCAAATCATATTTGTAAATGTTTTTCTGATAATTTAAATCTTTTTGACTAAATTAATTAGATGCAAACCGCTGAAATGTAAGAAAATAACTTTGAATAGACCGATCAATGTCCGGTTCAAAATAGTTTACCTGTCACCTGAACAGGTAAATTCAGCTGTTCGACAACTAATTAGCCTTGATTAAAATGAGAAGGTATTAAAGTAAGGGGTTGTTTTGATAGTACATAATGATCATGTCACTTTTATGACCGGAAATGTGTGGCTGTTAAAGGCAAAAGGTTGGGTCAAAAAGATCGCGAATTATGTTATAATGACCATCTTTTAAGAAAGCCTTGAAAACTAAAAAGTAGATGTCCGTTTCATGCTTTGCCCAGCCGGACTTTTACCGGACATTATACAAATGTCCGGAATATATGACCGTTTTGGAAGCCTTGAATACATGTATCATTGACAGAATAAGATTCATCTTCCTCAGGTAAAGATAAAATTTGAATATTCATGATTTTTTCCCCTTCTTTATGAAGTCTATTTATGAATTCGGTGCATGCACAGTGTGCAACAATTGCTAGGCTTAAGCAACATTTTATGAAGTAACATACAGAAAGTAAGGAACCAAAATTTAACTGATTTGCCTTGATAGAAAAAGTTTTTTTTATTTTTCAGATAAAAGACAGTGGTGTGGAATATTTGTGCTGATTGGCATTCTGATTGTGATTATTATATTTTTTTTTGTTTTATGATATCTTAAAGTTGTTATTTTTACAGATATTTATATGTATGAGAAGTCTATTTTAAGATGCAAAACAAAAACATAGGCTAGAGTAGCTGTAGTTAGAATGTACACTATTGAGCCTTATCATGAATGTTGAGATTAATGACTGATTGATTGCTGGCTTTAGTTTGTCACATCGACACACAATGGCCATGTGGTTGTAGTGTAGATACTTAGTAAACTGTGTGGAAGGGACCATTTACTTACAGCAGTGCAATAGCTGTGTGTGTGAAACTCTTATCAAGACCACTTATTCTTGTATATGGTTGTAAAATTTTGTCAGATGTATTTAGTTAAAAAGTTTAATCATTTGTTAAATTATGAATGTTTTCCTATGATATAGCGTTACTTAAAGACAGTATTCAAAATAATTTTTGAAGCCAGCCAAAGGGAAGGTTGCCCTTATTTTTATTTTATCTGCCAGGAAAAAAAGTCTAGTCAAAAAGATTGTCTAAATGTTTATTTTTTTTTTCTAATTTATATGAAAGTGGCAAACCCACATTTGGTGTCCAGTTCAGCCACCTCTGCCGGACCAGAATGAGGTTTGGCAGACAAGTCCGGTAAATACAACAGTTTTGGAACCCATGGCCAGAGGATTGAAATAGTTTAAATGGACTTATTACTGGCTTGATACAAAAGTTACTATTCTCATTAATTCAAGATTTTAGTTTTTAACCGCTTGGGTTGTTATATAGTGTAAGCAACACAGATAATGTAAAATTGTGTACACAAAAAATACCTTGCCAATAAGACAGCCTTATATTATATGTTATTCATAAATCTATACACATAGTTTAAGCATTGTCACAAAATTTTTTTAGTCGAAGCTATTTGTAAGATATTGTTTATATTTCTGCATTTTGTGTTCATTGTTGATTTTGAAAAAAAAAGATTGTTTTTGTTTAATCTTTCATTATGTCATAATTTTGTTAACTTACTACTGTAATTTCAAAAATCCTAGATAAGAAGTCAAAAATCAAAGAGAGAGTTTTTGTGATCAAAATAATCAAATAGGACGAGCACCTCATTAATAAAGTTTCAACATGAACATTAAGATTAATTATTTTTTTAAATGGTAAAAGTAATAATTCTTTTACTTAGGGAATGTTCAGTGACTAGCATGTGGATGTAAGATTTGAACAAAAGTATTCTGAAATTAAAATCTTATGAAACAAATTTACCCCATCCTTGAACCAGCTAAATTAAAAATTTAATTTTGGTTTTTTTATCCCCAACAGTGATGTTGTACACCCCAATTGGTAAAAAATTGTATTTTAGATTTAAGAAGTAGTATTCCCAAATAATTTTTTTTATTACGGAAATTAAATTCATTTTGTAAATTATAATGATGATAATTTTTACCCAATCCATGGAGATCTTCATCTACACAACAGGTATGAGCCTAACCAATACACGAGTCTTTCCCTTGGGCATTGTCTATCTAAATTCAGCAAGAATGGGATTTATGACTTGAACAAAAAAATCAATCACCAAAAATGTTGACACATAGATGCCATGCATCGTATATATAAATCTCATTTATTTTGTTGACTAATTCACAATTTCATTGAACGAAATTGATATTTATAATACAAATGAATATTTTCTTTCTCTTTTTCTTATTTTACTTTTTCCATTAGATATGATGTGATATTGTCTGTTTTAGGACCTAATGAAGCAGTCCAGTAACAATGCTAAAACCAAAATTTTATTTAATCCAACAGGCATTCTTTCCACTTGAAAAAAAAATCTTTTTACATGGGTATAAGTAAGAATTAAGTTAAATCTCAACAATTACTATTATCTTTTCATTTAAATTACAGTGTGCCCCCTCCACTAAGTACATGTAGTTATAAAATATTTTTTTCCCCATGTCTGGCTTTGTTTGTTTGTTATCCTAATATTTTCTAATAAATGGTTTCAGATATTGATCTGATTGTTATGCAAAACTGTACTTGTATAAAAAGAATTACACAAAAATAAATGTGTGTTTTTCTTCTCATTCCTTTTGGCATATTGAAATTACAACTCTTGACCTTCAAAATTAATATCGATCTGACTTTTTGGGCATTAAATTGTATGATTTGGAATTACAAAAAAAAAATATGCTAAATAAATGAAATTATGCACTTAAATGCACTTTCAAATAAAGCATTCATTCCATGAAAAACATACTTATTTACCACTTTTTTTTGTTTTTTCTTGACGGCTAGGATGTTCTTACATTTACATGATTATTTCAAGACAAACACAATACCCCCTTTGTCAGAAACCTACCCTAGGGTAAAAATCTGTGTATATACACAAGTGAAAATAGTAAAATTAATACACCAAAAATAAATTTATACATTCAAAATACATATTTTCTTATATACAAATTATATCAGAAAAAATAATGCATTGTGATAATTATGAAAATAAGAACTATTTCAGTGTTATTTTTTTCCCTGTCATCCCAATTTAATTTTATAAGATATGTAAGTCATCATCTACTTGAATTTTAAGATTTTAAATATGGTGCTTCATCAATAAATCACCCATTTTTATACCCCACTCTAAATGTGGGGATATACTGCAATAACCTTGTCCATTTATTTCGTTGATCAGTCAGTCCATCTTTTAGTCCAACAAAAGTGTTTGTCAGACTGGTTCTCATATTTGTCAGCAGCTTGATAGTGACGAGTTGTAATGTGTGAGCACTTTTCATATCTATCAGACACCTACTTTCTGTTTGTTGATTCTATTAATATTTCAATATGTTGAAATAACTTTAAAAACAATTGTAATACATTTCTCCAGTAGTATTGAACTTCATATTTACTTATCAGCATAATTATGATTAGTTGTACAATATGTGTGTGCTTTTTGGATCTGCTGGACATCTACTTCCTGTTTGCAGATACTTTAAATTGTCCAACATAGTGAATGAAAACAAATATTTTTTGTCAAAGTTTTCTCAAAAATCTACAGAACAGAATGACTTCATATTTGGTTCACAGTTTGACAGTAATAGGTTGTAAAGTGTGAGCAATTTATTTTTGGATCTGTCAGACACCGTTTTACTATTTTTACATAGATTGAATTATGCTTAGCTCGACATGGCATTCATTCTTGTTTCGTCATCTCTCCACTCAATGTTAAATTTTTTTCATGACCTGATTTTCATTAAAATCATGAAATGCTCTCTATTTGTTTATTTTAAAATAATGCCTTATTAGCCTTCTGTTAAAATACAACGATTTTACTTCCGATTGAAAAATTTATTCCCTTTGTTAGATGAAGTTTAGTATTTCTTCTTTGAAGACGGGATCACAGATATACTAGATGATTTGTTTTTTTACTGAGAATCTTTTTTTAGCACAAACATTTGTCTTTGTATGATTTTTACAAAGAACAGCACAAAAAGTTAAAGTTTATACTTTGATGTTGTCCATATAAGGAGTGATACAACAAAAGTGAATTATACATTAATTGTACTTCAACCTTTTTGATAGTGCTTTTGTTTCATTAAGATATGTTGTGCATAATTTATTACAATAAAATCTAAAAAGATTTATTATTGTCTTTGTTTGTATATTTTGTACCAATAGACAAGTTTCCAATTTCCTATATTAGAAATGAACTTTCCCCTTTGACCTGGGCTCATTTGGGTTACAATAAAATCTAGAAAGATTTATTATTGTCCTTGTTTGTATATTTTGTACCAATAGACAAGTTTCCAATTTCCTATATTAGAAATGAACTTTCCCCTTTGACCTGGGCTCATTTGGGTTACAATAAAATCTAGAAAGATTTATTATTGTCCTTGTTTGTATATTTTGTACCAATAGACAAGTTTCCAATTTCCTATATTAGAAATGAACTTTCCCCTTTGACCTGGGCTCATTTGGGTTAACACATGTCATAGGACATTGTGACATCCATTTTTTCCAGGAAAATTTGTTTAATAACCATGAAGATGTAGTTACAACATGTTATTATTGAATAGTATTTTTACCCTCTAAAATCATTGCAGAATTATCTCATTTCAAAGCAATTTTCTAAATTAATCTTCATACGAAAAAAAACAGCCAAAAAATACATGATACCATGGGGCAATAAAAAAAAACACAAGTCTAAATATGGACAACACCATGACCAAGGAATACTAAACTCATCCGGGAAAAAAAAGACAAGTTGAATGCTCTGGAAAGACAAACAGTTTCTAATACACTAGTGGCACATAACATTTTGCTCATTTCACTTTTATGTCAAAGTTCAGTCTTTACAGTTATAGCTTGGCATCAATAATAGCTTGGAAAATATAGAATAGAGAATAGAAACGGGAAATGTGTCAAAGAGACAACAACCCGATCAAGCTGCAGAAAACAGCCCATGACCACCAATGAGTCTTCAATCCAGCGAAAAAAAATCCACACCTGAAGGCAGGCTTCAGCTGGCCCCTAAACAATAATGTATACAAGTTCGACGAAATGGACGCCACACTAAAGGCTGAAACATACAAATGAATCAAAAATTAAAAAAAAACACAAGACTAACAAAGGCTAGAGGTTCCTGGCGGGACAGGCGCAAAAATGTGGTTGGGCTAAACATGTTTTGAGAGATCTCAACTCTGCCCATATACCTTTACCCAATGTGGAATAAAAAAAACATATAGCAAAGCGCACAGTAAAACTCAGTTCATAAGAAGTCTGAGTCCGATGTTAGAATAAGTAACAGAAGAAACTAAGCAAAATGACAATGATCAACATAAATTAACAAAGGACTACTAGCAGTTACTGACATGAAACTGTGAAACTTCTGAAACTGTATTTCAAAATTTATTTGGTACCATTGACGGGCAAAGTCTTGATTTTTATGCTTTCTCCACACTAGCTGGTTAATCACTATTGTTTGACTACAGACGAGGAGTTGTGACAAAATTACTTGTAAAAAAATAAAAAGAGAAATATTTAAGTCAAATGATAATGTAGATGTATGTATCTGAGAGATATGATTTGCCATTAAAAAACTTTTTATAGTTTCACCCTTGTCCGTCATTCCGCAACAAACCATTATACAGACTTTTTTTCTAAACGCCTTCAGATATTGGGCTAATTTTTGGTATGTGAGTTGACCATGATGAGTTACAGATCAAGTTTAAGTTTCATTTCACTCTGCTAATTTTTGGAAATCACAGTTATACAGACTTTTTTTCTAAATGCCTTCATATACATTTGTATTTGGCTGATTTTTTATACGACCGCAAAAAATTTTTTGTGGTCGTATATTGGTATGACGTTGGCGTCGTCGTCGTCCGGCGTCGTCGTCGTCGTCGTCGTCGTCCGGCGTCGTCTGGCGTCGTCCGAAGACACATTGGTTTTCGCACTCTAACTTTAGTTTAAGTGAATGGATCTTTATGAAATTTTACCACAAGGTTCAATACCACAAAAGGAAGGTTGGGATTGATTTTGGGGGTTATGGTAATAACAGTAAAGGAATTAGGGGTCAAAAAGGGGCCAAAAATAAGCATTTTTGTAACTTCCAGACATAACTTGTGTGTTAGTGTATGGATCTCTCTGACATTGTACCACAAGGTTCCATATCACTAAAGGAATGCTGGGATTGATTTTGGGGGTAATTGCCTCCAAATTTTAGGAATTAGGGGCCAAAAAAGGGGCAAAAAACAAGCATTTTTCTAGTTTCATGACAATAACTTGTGTGTAAGTGTATGGATCTTTCTGAAATTGTACTACAAGGTTCCATATCACAAAGGGAAAGCTGGGTTTGAGTTTGGGGGTAATTGCCCTAAACGTTTAGGAATTTGGGGCCAAAAAGGGGCCAAAAAACACATTTTTTTCTAGTTTCCAGACAATAACTTGTGTTCAAGTGTATGGATCTCTCTGAAATTGTACTGCAAGGTACCATACCACAAAGGGAAGGCTGGGATTGAGTTTGGGGGTGATGAATCATAATGGGGGTTCAAAAAATTTTGGGGGGGGATTTATTTTTTTTTCCTTTTTTTTCTTTTTTTCCTTTTTTGTTTCTTTTAAAATTTTCCATTTTAAGTCGGTTATTTCTGATTTATATTTAAAATCAAATAATAATGATATGGTAGAAGATATACACCAAACAGGATGTGTAAATTATTATATAATAAGTATTGTGCAATAGCAAGAAATTTTCAATTGCACAGTATTGCACAATAGCAAGAAATCTTCAATTGCACAGTATTGCGCAATAGCAAGAAATCTTCAATTGCACAGTATTGCGCAATAGCAAGAAATATCCAATAGCACAATATTGCGCAATAGCAAGAAATTGTCAATTGTACAGTATTGCGCAATAGCAAGAAATATTTAATAGCACAGGATTGTGCAAAAGAAGATACTTCTTATAAATTGCTTATTTCTTGACTAATTTCAATATGGTTTTATTCTTGATTTCATGGGGTTCTTTAATATGCTGAATCTAACCGTGTATTTAGTTTTTGGATTTTGGGCCCCGTTTTTAAATTGGTCCACATTGAGGTCCAAAGGGTCCAAAATTAAACTTTGTTTGATTTCATCAAAAATTGAATTATTGGGGTTCTTTGATATGCCGAATCTAACTGTGTATTTAGATTCTTAAATTTTGGTTCCGTTTTCAAATTGGTCTACATTAAGGTCCAAAGGGTCCAAAATTAAACTTAGTTTGATTTTAACAAAAATTGAATTCTTAGGGTTCTTTGATATGCTGAATCTAAATATGTATTTAGATTTTTGATTATGGGCCCAGTTTTCAAGTTGGTCCAAATCGGGGTCCAAAATTAAACTTTGTTTGATTTCAACAAAAATTGAATATATGGGGTTCTTTGATATGCTGAATCAAACCATGTATTTAGATTTTTGATTTTTGGGCCCCGTTATCAACTTTGTCCACATTGAGGTCAAAAGGGTCCAAAATTAAACTTTGTTTGATTTCATCAAAAATTGAATTATTGGGGTTCTTTGATATGCCGAATCTAACCGTGTATTTAGATTCTTAATTTTTGGTTCCGTTTTCAAATTGGTCTACATTAAGGTCCAAAGGGTCCAAAATTAAACTTAGTTTGATTTTAACAAAAATTGAATTCTTAGGGTTCTTTGATATGCTGAATCTAAACATGTATTTAGATTTTTGATTATGGGCCCAGTTTTCAAGTTGGTCCAAATCGGGGTCCAAAATTAAACTTTGTTTGATTTCAACAAAAATTGAATATATGGGGTTCTTTGATATGCTGAATCTAACCATGTATTTAGATTTTTGATTTTTGGGCCCCATTATCAACTTTGTCCACATTGAGGTCAAAAGGGTCCAAAATTAAACTTTGTTTGATTTCATCTAAAATTGAATTATTGGGGTTCTTTGATATGCCGAATCTAACCGTTTATTTAGATTCTTAATTTTTGGTTCCGTTTTCAAATTGGTCTACATTAAGGTCCAAAGGGTCCAAAATTAAACTTAGTTTGATTTTAACAAAAATTGAATTCTTAGGGTTCTTTGATATGCTGAATCTAAACATGTATTTAGATTTTTGATTATGGGCCTAGTTTTCAAGTTGGTCCAAATCGGGGTCCAAAATTAAACTTTGTTTAATTTCAACAAAAATTGAATATATGGGGTTCTTTGATATGCTGAATCTAACCATGTATTTAGATTTTTGATTTTTGGGCCCCGTTATCAACTTTGTCCACATTGAGGTCAAAAGGGTCCAAAATTAAACTTTGTTTGATTTCATCAAAAATTGAATTATTGGGGTTCTTTGATATGCCGAATCTAACCGTGTATTTAGATTCTTAATTTTTGGTTCCGTTTTCAAATTGGTCTACATTAAGGTCCAAAGGGTCCAAAATTAAACTTAGTTTGATTTTAACAAAAATTGAATTCTTAGGGTTCTTTGATATGCTGAATCTAAACATGTATTTAGATTTTTGATTATGGGCCCAGTTTTCAAGTTGGTCCAAATCGGGGTCCAAAATTAAACTTTGTTTGATTTCAACAAAAATTGAATATATGGGGTTCTTTGATATGCTGAATCTAACCATGTATTTAGATTTTTGATTTTTGGGCCCCGTTATCAACTTTGTCCACATTGTGGTCAAAAGGGTCCAAAATTAAACTTTGTTTGATTTCATCAAAAATTGAATTCTTGGGGTTCTTTGATATGCTGAATCTAACCATGTATTTAGATTTTGGATATTGGACCATAATAGGTGAATGTCCAATTTAAAATTTTTAAGTTCTTAGACCACATTCAATCTGTGTTAGAAACCTATGCTGTGTCAAATATTTAATCACAATCCAAATCCAAAGCTGTATCAAGCTTGAATGTTGTGTCCATACTTCCCCTAACTGTTCAGGGTTCGACCTTTGCGGTCGTATCAAGCTGCGCCCTGCGGAGCATTTTATTGTATGTTAGTTTACCATGATGAGTTACAGATCAAGTTTAAGTTTCGTGACGCTCTGCTAACGCCCCTGCCTGAATCCTAAAATTTGCAAAGCATGGGTTGTCCTCAGCTGAATAAAGTATCTGAAGAGACGACAAAAATTAATGTT